TCTCTCTCGTACGTCTGGTCGCCCTCTCTTCTCTCTCTTCTCTTCTCTCTCCTCTCTCTCTCGTCTCTCTCTTCTCTCTCTCTCTTCTCTCTCTCTCTCTCTCTCTTCTTCTCTCTCTCTCTCCTCCTCCTCTCTCTCTCTCTCTCTCTCTCTCTCTCTCTCTCTCTCTCTCCCTCCTCTCTCTCTCTCTCCTCCTCTCTCTCTCTCTCTCTCTCTCTCTCTCTCTCTCTCTCTCTCTCTCTCTCTCTCGCTCTGCCGTTGGCTTCACACACATCCCGAGGCCATGAATAATGTATTTAACATCGTGGAGACATCGCTGCGTTGTAAAGAGTAGCTGGTTAGCCGCCAGAACGTTTGTACTCCTATCGTATTAACTGCGCATGCGCGTGGACGTTCAGTTATCCTGACATGGAAGAAACACTGACGGATATTTCGTCGTCAGCGCCGCTTGACGAAAACCGTCATGTTTAGCTTAACCGTTTTAACCGTGTTTCTGTTCGTTGTTAAATTTTGCCACCAACACTAGCTAGTAACATAGTTCTACCCGTGGGTACGTGCACACCGGGTGATGTGCACTTAGTAGTTATAATAATAATCGACCCGATTCACGTTTGTTGCACTTTCGCCATCTAACAGAAATCGAACACCGTACAATGTAACAATTCTATGGAAATAAAAACACGCGTACGGTCGATTTCGGCAGATATTTGTTTTCGTTTACTTGTTTCTCGCTGTCGAGAGAACGATGTATTTGCCAAGACACAGCTGTGTAAATGTGCGTGTGCAAGCTTTGTACGATATTAAATATCAGATTCTTACCTGAAGTTCAGGGAGTTTGCGATCTCCTCCAACATGATCGTCATCCACATTATCATGTACTCCTCTCCCTGCAAATATCAGCATAGTCAATTAATCATATACTAATTACAACGCAATTCATGTTGGATGTCGGTTATCTCCTTCTGTCGTTGTTTGCCTTTATCTCTCTGTCTCTTTCTCTCTCTGTCTCTCGCATTGGGCGGCGCCGCGAAAAAAAACCCGAGCGATTTCTTCCCGAGGTAAATGCGACGGACGTTGAAAAAAAACGCACAGAAAGAGTTCGTTGCCATTAATGGTTTGCCATTTGAGTAACGAAACGCACGCGACCACTTTCGTTTTCGCGGTTACACACACACGCACGCACACACACACACACACACACACACACACACACACACACACACACACACACACACACCACACACACACACACTCTCTTCTCTCTCTCTCTC